TTACAGTTTGTAAGTCGGTAAAAAACGGGTAATCGGTAGGTCGATAACAATCGGTAAGAGTCGGTAAGATTCGGTTAGAGTCGTTAAGAGTCGGTAAGAATCGGTAAGTCGATTAGAGTCGTAAATCTGTAAGAATCGGTAAATCAGTAAGAATTGGTAAGAGTCGGTAAGAATCGGTAAAAATAGGTAAAAGTCAGTTAAAATCGGTAAGAGTCAGTGAGTCGGTAAGAATCGGTAAAAGTCGTTAAGAATCGGTAAGAGTCGGTAAGTGTCGGTAAGTGTCGGTTAGAGTAGGTAGGTCGGTAAGATTCGGTAAATGAATAAAAATCGGTAAAGTCAGCAAGAGTCTGTAAGAGTTATAGAGTCGGTAAGTCGGTAAGAGTCGTTAAGAATCGGTAAGAATGTGTAAGAATCGGTAAGAATCGGTAAGAATGGGTGAGAATCGGTAAGAGTCGGAAGAATAAGTTACAGTCGGTAAGAATCGGTAAAAATCGGATACAGTCGGTAAGAAACGGTTAGTCGCTAAGAGTCGGTAAGAATCTGTAAGAGTCGGTAAGAATCGGTAAGAGCCGGTTAGACTCGGTTAGAATACGTAAATCGGTAAGAGTCGGTAAGACTCGGTAAGAATCGGTAAGCGTCAGTAAGATTCGGTAAGAATTGGTAAAAGTCGGTAACTTACCGACTGTAAGTCGGTAAGTCGATTCGAGTCGGTAAGTCTGTAAGAGTCGTTAAATCAATAAGAGTCGGTAAGAGTCGGTAAGAGTCGGTAAGTGTTGTTAAGAGTCGGTAAGAGTCGGTAAGATTCAGTTAAAGTCGGTAAGTCAGTAATAGTGGGTAAATCAGTATAAGTCGGTGTGTCGGTAAAAGTCGGTAAGAATCGGTAAGAATCGGTAAGAGTCGGTAAGAATCGGTGAGAATCGGTAAGGGTTGGAAGAATAAGTTACAGTCGGTAAGAGTCGGTAAGAATCGGATACAGTCGGTAAGAAACGGTTAGTCGCTAAGAGTCGGTAAGAATCTGTAAGAGTCGGTAAGAATCGGTAAGAGCCGGTAAGAGTCGGT